GTTGCGTCAGGGACACCTGCCTCTGCCGACCCAGAGGCAGAGCCAGCTGTCCCCGCCCCCTCCTCCGTCCGATCCGCCAGTCAGCGCTGGTGGAGCGGGGAGGGGGGTATCCAGCCCCTCCTTTGTCACGGCAGAGAGCCGTGACAGGATCGAGAGGTGAGCAAACGCCGGTATGTGTTCGCTCACCTCCCGATCTACTGAGCTGACCTGTGACAGTCTCATTGTCACAGGTCGGCTAGAACTATGAGGTGAGTGAAAAGCACTCACCTCATAGTTCTCCTTTAATTTAATGTTAACAATTATTATATTTTTATTTTATTTTTTTCACTTAACGTTATTGCTATCACACAGGAGCTAACAAGCCCCTGTGTGATAGCATATGGAGGTGACAGGTTCTCTTTATTGAACCTTTCACTTCCAAAACAGGAACTCCTGTAAAAGCTGAGAGGGAAGGCTGCATGTGCAGCTCTCACCGTTTTACGCAGAGCGGAGAACGGACGTGACATGGCCAGCGAGGAAAGAGGTCTGTGGCAGGAGGAGGACGGACCTGCAAGCTGCATACAAATGATCCCGGCGACATCGCCGAGATCAATTGTAAACGAACGAGCAGCTGCCCTGCTTGCCCAAAGCAGGGCTAAATGTAGAAAACAACTACCCGCCTGGCGCCCAGACCTGTATGTCCCAGGTGTCGGCAGATTCCACAACCCTGATGCCCCTCTGCTTCCTGCCTCCCCGAGGATGGGCCACGGTGGCCTTGTAGGAAATCTGGCCCTGATATCACCCCCCCTTTCCCATCTACCTTGTCCCTTTGGTTATTAAAATAATTCCTGGTAGTTCTGACGCTGACTGCAACCTGTAGAGGGACTACAAATCCCGGCAATAGGTTATACAGCAATGCAGAATACCAGCAGCTGAAGTAGACTACGGATCCTGGCAATACATTATACAGCAATGCAGAATACCACCAGCTAAGGAAGACTACAAATCCGGCCAATACATTATGCAGCAATGCAGAATACCATCAGCGACAGAGAACTACAAATCCCAGCAATAAATTATACAGCAATGCAGAATGATGCCACACCATCCATTGCCCCTACATGCATCAGATCCCCCTAGATCCATGCTATAGGCAATAGATCCCCCTAGAGGCAGCAGAGCCCCTCCATACACCCTCTGTAGGTGTTAGATCACTTTCATCCCCCTAGAGGCAGTAGATCCCGTCTCTATTGGCTCGGGTACCAACACCTACCCTTCATGATATATTGATGACGATGTGAGCATCCTACTTCAACTTCTGTCACCTCTGGCTTCTCTCATCCAGCAGGTATTAGTTTTGGGTATCAGAGCATTTGCATGAGTATGAGTACTCATGCAAATGCTCAGTATTGGCACCGATACCAATATCGGTATTGGTGCACCACTACTATATATATATATATATATATATATATTATTTTTTTACAGAATAGAAAATAAAGAAATAAAAAAGACCCGCTGATCGCCTATATGTGTGACACCCGGTACCGGGTGTGTGCATTGTCGGGTCTTTTCTGCCCGTGCGTGCCCGCTAGGGGGCGCGCGCGAGCAGAAAAAAATTGCCGTCTGGAGACGGCAACCCGCAGTGCCGTCCGTCCGTTTTTCTACTACGGGCGGACGGCAAGAGGTTAAATTTGGTGTCAAAACAGTAATGTCACTCACTCGACAGCAAGGGTGGACCTTAATGTCAGGACGTGACGTCACGTCTTCACGCTAAGCTCCACCCTCGCCGACAATTCAAAGTGACAGACGCTGGGAAGCTGACTGACTGAAGTGACAAACAGAGAGATTTCCTGACAACACTTACCAGCTAGCCTGCAAAAAAGCTTACACGGTCTCACAATATAATATCACTTATCATTGTCCCTGGGCACCCCCCACATATCGCTCAGGGAACTACAAGTTCCAGCATGACCTCCTTGTCCCAGGACACCTCCCACATATTACTCAGGGTACTACAAGTCCCAGCATGCCCTCATTGTCCCTGGATATCTCCCACATATCATGCAAGGAATTGCAAGTCCCAGTATGCCCTTATGGTCCCCGTACACCCAATGGCATGCTGGGACTTGTAGTACCCAGGGTGATAGAATAGAAGTTGAACTTGAAAGTTACCTCACCTGGTGCTGTCCTCCTGGCAGCTTTGCTCTTCTCACACAGCACACAGCTGACAGCATGGCCGGAGAAAGCTCAGGGGGGCTGGAAAAAAAAACACACTGGGGGACTGCGAACCCGCACTGGGAACACCACAACACAGCCAGTCGGAGGCGGGTCTCTCTCCAATCAGTTTGCTTTTTGCTGAGTCCTCGCGGCCGAGGCCCAGCACGGCCGCATAACTTGGCTGCTGTGCTGCCTAATTGTGATCGCTGCCCGTACGGCTCCGCTTGCTTGCCACTGCCCATTTCTGCACCTGGGGAATTGAGCCCACTGACACTAGCCCACACTCTAAGACTCATAATTTCAGAGTGTGGACTAATGTGAACAAGCCTTTCAATTGAGTTGAAAAAAAAATGTAAACAGTGTGATATGCTGTAAGCATTGCACTGCTTTGCTCACAAGCACACCAGCAGCCGCACAGTAGTATGCACTGCCGGTGTGAACAAGCCCGATCATTTTCCTACATATTTTAGACTAAGGCCATCCGTACAGGTGCTATACATCAGCCTAACGAATATGAACAATTGTACTGTTATGCAATTCACTTTAGGTAAACTTGCATGTTTATGTATATGCAGAGGAGAGCCGTGCTGGTATTGGCCTGTCACAGTAAAAAAGTATGAGCAGCTAGAAAAATCCATCCCAGATGATCCATTCTATTCCCTAGCAGGCCTGAGCATTGGAAGAAGCCTTCAGACATAATAAACATTCTCCGATCTGACCATAAATAGCTGGGTTGGGCAAAAACTATATAATGTTTAGAAGCACCATTAGAACGTGTGTAGACAGGCATTTGTTCCTGCCAGAACTGCTGTTCTTCCCATATGATTCAGAATGCAAAAGCAGCTTGATGCAACTTAGAAAGCATTTGGCACATCACTAGTACATATCACAAAGCTGATCTGTGAATTTCATCAAATT